ATGGAATCTTGCTCTGTCGCCAGGTTGGAGTATGCAGTGGTGCCATCTTGGCTCACTGCAACCTCTGACTTCCTGGTTCCAGCGATTCTCCTCCCTCAGCCTCCTGAGTAGCTGGAATTACAGGTGTGTGCACCCAGCCTGTTACTAGGTATTTTCTGATGTTTAGCTTGAAGTACCTATTAGGAGATCAATTAACAATTTTGGGAGCATACCAAGAGTTGTAAATTTTTTACAGTAAATACTTTTGTAATATTTCATTGTTACTTTTTGGCTTTTTTAGTTTTCATTTTTTGTTTTAGAGAGTAATATAAATTGAAGGAAAAAAGTTAAATAACAAATAATTTTTTATGTTAAAGTTTAGTTTTCTAAAATACCTTATTTTATTTTGTTTTATAGGGATTTGTCTTGGCTGTTACTATGATGCGGGAAGCAATTGACGAATTTCGGCGTTTTCAACGTGACAAGGAAGTGAATTCCCAGCTATATAGCAAGCTTACAGTAAGAGGTCAGCAAGATGCTTTAATCCTACTTAGCATTTGCCTACTGTAGTCATTTCAGAGTTAACAAGTATATGAAAACATTTTAATTCTATTATTGAAAATAGTATTATGTGACTATATTGATAATTAATTTCCTTATAATGTATAGTGCATGCAATTTTAGGGGAGATTTTTGTTCATTCTCTAGATGTTTGCATGTATATTGTACACACATGTATACAAATGCATACACAACCACATGAGCATGTACATATATTGCTAATCATTATATAATGTGCTCTATTGATACACACATTTTCTGAGAAGCGTAATGCCACTTTATCTAAAATCTATCTTGGTACTATATTTTAAACACACTTATAAAAGTCAAATGTCTATCCCGTGGCGTTAAACTACACTTAAGTGCACAGGCCTTTGAACAACAGAAATAAATATTGTCATCTAAGATGGTAACCGATGTGTGCATGTTTCTCCTTAACCTTCATTCAGGCCTTAACTCTTGCTTAACTTACAACCTTCAAGCACTTGTTTAGCTGATGTTTCAGTCGGTAGTAGAGAAAGAAGCAATGCATGAAGAAGAGAGTTGGGAAATGATTACAAGTAGGCATAAGACAGTAAAAAAGTGGCTGAAAACCATAGGAACAAGGGAGACACCCGGAAAACTAAGTGGGTATTCATAATAACTCCAAAGTCTGTTGAAAAAGTTTACAGTGGATTTTTCATCTTCTGTAAGAGGATATTGACAATGAATTATTTAACTTATGAAATAGTACCTTCAAAAATTACTTATTTTTAACACCTTATTGGGCTGTATTTCCCATAACAAAATGTGTCCATGTAAAGTATACAGTTCAGCGTTTTTTGGTGTATTCATAAAGTTGTATAGCCATCACCATCACTTAAGTCATTTAAGGGTAGTACGCTTTTGATGTCCCCAGGAGGAACCCTGAGTACATTAGAAGTCAGTACTCTTGCTGCTTCCCTCCTCACCCTACCCTAGCCTCAGGTGGCCACTCTTCTCCTTTCTGGCTCTGTGGTTTTACCCACTCTGGACATTTTATCAGTGGAATTATGCAGTATGTGGTCTTTTGTCACCGGCTTCTTTCACTGGGCATGTTTTCAAGGTTCATCTTATAGTAGCATTCATCAGTACTTTGTTTCTCTTGGCTGCTCAGTAATATTCCAGTGTACGATACAGTACATTTTGTGTATCCATTCATTAGTGGATGGACATTTGGGGTTGTTTCTACTTTGTGACTGTTGTGAATAATGCAGCTATGGACATCTGTGTACAAACGTTTGTATGAATTTTGTTTTCATCTTGGATACATACCTGGGAGTGAAATTCCTGGATTATTTGGTAACTCTATGGTTAGCATTATAAAGAATTGTCAACCTGCAATCTTCCTAGTTTGCAGCTTATTCCAAAAGAATTGTTTCTGTCTCTAACCAGTCTAGGGACTGCTTGGAGGATCGACCCTAGGTGCTTGTCTTTTGTTCCCCTAACTTGAACTCAGGACAGAAAAGTAGAAATGTAGCAGCATTTCTCAAACACGTGCAAGGCTGATGAATAGCCTCCAGTAGCCTAGGGCAAAAGATGGCAGTGGAGCCAGATGGTGGGGTGTCAAATACAGGCAGGAGAAGCTGGGGAGGGAGCTTCTTTGGGAAATTTGAATATTTAGAAGTGCCCCTGTGTATGCAGGGGAATTGTGAAAGCTAAGAACTGGAGTAATGCTCAGAAAAGACCTGAAGTCCTTCCCTCTAGCCAGTCTCCGGGCTCAGTGCAAGTAGGAAGGGAAGGCCGCAGCAGGGTTGTGAATGGCCTGGCTGAATCCTGAAGAAGGCTGCAGCACAGAGCCAGGCTGCAAAGCCCAGGGCAGGTTTTGTTTGGGTTTGTTTCTTCCTCCCCCTTCCCCTCCTTTTTCTCCCTTCATATGGAAGGAAATCTTTGTCAAAACACTGGCTCGCATATAATTGAATGGAACAGAGACTTTAGAGACCATCCATGGTGAAGAATACACATTTTACAAAAATAGTTCAGAAAAATCAGTAAACGAACACAGCTGCAGCATATAACAATAAAGTCAACCAAGAAGAGGGAGAAATACCTAATTTTCAGAATTACCAGATTATAATGTATGTTCAGTTTTTTTTTTTTACTGTTTTTCTTTTTTCAGACAGAGTCTTGCTCTGTCGTCCAAGCTGGAGTGCAGTGGCGTGATCTCAGCTCACTTCAACCTCCAACGCCTACCCCCTGGGTTCAGGCGATTCTCCTGCCTCAGCCTCCCAAGTAACTGGAATTACAGGCATGCACCACCATGCCTGGCTATTTTTTGTATTTTGTAGAGTTGGAGTTTCATGTTGACCAGGCTGATCCTGAACTCCTGACCTCAGGTGATCCACTCGCCTCGGCCTCCCAGAGTGCTGGGATTATAGGCATGAGACATCGTGCCCCTGGTGTATGTTCAGTTTTCTACAAAAAGCATTACAAAGCATGCAACAAAACAAAATGTGGCCCGATCCCAGAAGAAGGTGATACTAGCTGCCCCTGAGGAAGGCCAGACATCAGACTTAGGAGACAAAGTTTAACTCAGCTGTCTTTAATGTGCCAAGGCACTCAAGGAAACCTTGGGGATATTGCTTAAAAGATATAGGAGAGTGATGCAGGAACAAGTAGAGAATTATTTAAAGGAAGCATACAAATTGTGGCACTCAGAAGTAGAGTAAGTGAAAAGAAACACTCACTAGAGGATTTCAGTAGCGGAACTGAGCACACCAAAGAAAGAATCAGTGAACTTAAGCCTAGGTCAATTGTACGTATCCAGTTTGAAAAGCAGAATGAAAAGAACATGAACAGCTCTTAAGAGACCTGTGGGGCAGCATCTAGCATACCACATACACATGATGGAGATGCAAGACGGCGAGGAGAGAGAGATGACAGCGAAAATATGAAGGAGTAATGGCCAAAAACTTTCCACGTTTGATAAAAGATATTAATCTCTACATTGAGGAAGTACAGCAAACCCCATGAAGCATAACTCCAGAAAAATCCACACTGAGATGCATAACCAAGCAGCTGACACCTAGAGACCAAGAGGACACTCAAAACAGAGAGGTAACTGGCCACACACAAGGGATCCTCAGTAAGATTTATCAGAAGCCATGGAGGTCTGAAGGCGGTGGGGTGACATTTTAAAACTGGTGAGAGGAAAACCTCTTAACTAAAAATTCTGTGTCTGGTAAAACTGTCATTCAGAAATGAAGGTGTTGGCTGGGCCTGGTGGCTTATGCTGTAATCCCAGCACTTCGGGAGGCTGAAGCAGGTGAATCACCTGAGGTCAGGAGTTTGAGACCAGCCTGGCCAGTGTGGTGAAACCTCTCTCTTCTAAAAATACAAAAATTAACTGGGCATGGTGGCATGCATCTGTAGTCCAGTTAGTTGGGAAGCTGAGGCAGGAGAATCGCTTGAACCCAGGAGGCAGAGGTTGCAGTGAGCCAAGATCATGCCACTGCACTCCATTCTGGGTGAAATAGTGAGACTCTGTCTCAGAAAAAAAACAAAACAAAACAATGAAGACATTCACAGATAAACAAAAGCTAGTAAGTTTTCGTGCATCTAAGGGCATTATCAAGAAAACGGAAAGACAGAATGGGAGAAAATTGGAAATCTGTTATGACCAGTATCCAGAATACATAAAGAACTCTTAGGATTTCAGCATCAGAAAGATAACCCAATTAGAAAATAGGCAAAAGGCCTGAATAGACAATTCTGTGACAAAGATATACAAATGGCCAGCATGCTTATGAAACAATGGTTAGTAAGCAGCCTTAGACCATAGGGGAATGCAGATCTATAGTGAGATACCACCTAACACCACTAGGTTGACTGTAATTTAAAACATAGAATATTGAGTGCTGGAGAGGATCTGGAGAAATTGGAATCTTTACACATTGTTTGTGGGAACAAAATGGTTCAGCAGCTATGGAAAACACACTCTCAGTTTCTCAAATAATTCAGAGGAATTTAAAGCAGGGACCCAAGCAAATGCTTATTCATATTGATCATATTATTCATATTGATCATGAGTAAACATTTCTGTGTTTATTCACTATTCACAATAGCCAAAAAGGTGATAATAGCCCGGATGTTCACTGAAAGATGAGTGGATAAACAAATGAGTGGACAGCAAATTTCTGCAATGGAATTTTATTCAGCCATAAAAATCATGAAGGGTTGCTACATGCTACAGCCTGGAGTAACCTCAAAAACATCATGCTATGTGAAAGAAGCCCAGATGCAAAAGATCACATATTGTATGACTTCATCGATATGAAATCTCTAGAACTGGCAAAATAGTAGAGATAGACGGCAGATTGGAGGTGCTGTGGATGAGTGGAAGAAGGAGCAGGAAGCATCTGCCTGCAGGCATCGGGTTTCTTTTTTTCATGATGAAAATGTTTTGGGAGTTGGTAGAGTTGGTTGCACAACGTTGTGAATCATTCACTTTAAAATGACGTTTTATGTTACGTTAGTTTCACCCAAAAATGCTATAAAATGTTGAGGAAGACAGTCTACTGTTATGTCTTTTGTACTTCTGTGATACTTGAACTTCAGGTACTTTAAAAATAGTTTTCAGTATGTTTATTTTAAATGTAAATGAAAATTTACCGTTTTAAAAACATTAGCCATAGTTGCTGGTGATCTAAGAAGTTTCACATGTCAATAATGATGATCTAGCTGCTTTTTTACTTCTTTGTGTGTGTCAGGTAACATTCAGAGTACTGGTTCTCACATCCAGCATCGTCCAAGGGGGAGTCGATGTGCTCTCCAAGTTATAGATGAGAAACTTGCAGTTTATGCTGAATAATTTGCCTGAGTCACAGTAGTTTTAGGTAGAGCTGGTGCTTGAACCTAGATGATTCTGACTCCAATCCAGTGTTCTTTCAACTGTGCTTCATGGCTGGTGGTTCTGATACAGATGTTTGATGAGTGAAATTTGTGGTA